TATATATATGTGTATGTATATATATATATATATATATATATATATATATATATATATATAATATGCATACTGAACACAATTATTAACGCAACACTTTTGTTTTCGCCCCCATTTTTCATGAGCTGATCTCAAAGATCTAAGACTTTCTCTATGTAGACCTACACGAAAGGCCATCATGGAAATTAAACATCATGTTGCTAAATTTCCAAGCACTCAAGGGGGGCAATTAAGAGGGGAAAAAGGTTTAAATCCAGCTTGATTCAAATGTAAAATACAAACGTGAAATCACTGCACCACCTTGTGGCCAGGTCTCTAAAAAAAAAAAAAAGACATGCAGCACTTCTACCAAGGAAGAAACATCAAAGGATTATGTATAATTAGTGCCCCTCATGATCTTGATTTGAGGGAATTTTAGGTTACTTTTTTCTGTGTGTAGCCTACTAATATAATTTCATAGGTCTACTATTACATTAATATAATATCATAAATGTAGGCTATAGTAATAAATACACAATATCCATGGCCTACAGTAAAATAGAAACAGAAAAAGAAAACCACAACAGAACCCCTAAAACCCTGCCTGGACCTCACCTATGTAACTAAAATGTAACCTTTCCCAAAATCTTGAGCTCGAAATTTGACTTCTAGATCAAATTCCTTAAAGGGATACTCCACTTTTTTGGAAATAGGCTCATTTTACAACTCCCCCTAGTTGTAAAAACGGTAAAACTCAACTGTTTAACTCTGGGGGAGTTGTAAAATGAGCCTATTTCTAAAAAAGTGGAGTATCCATTTAATTCCCGTTTCTTACAGTAGGCGGCAGTATCGCACAATCACACGAAAGAATAACAAGCAGAAGAATCGCCGGATATCCGGAAGTGTTGCATTGTGGGGTTCATTTCGTTTGTCGCTAACCAAATGGTTGAAGTAATGAATCAATAGCTTTTGGTGCTTAAAATTTATGTAGCGTGCTTTTTGTTAAGTTTATCTTAACAAGCGTGGCGCTTATTGGTTTGCTCAGGCAGCTTGAGAATGAACGATCGGAGTTGAATCATGATTATAAGGCGCACAGGAGCAGCAGCAGCACTGATGTGTGGATGTGGAGAGTCAGCGTAAACGGATCAACCGAAAGGTACCGACTCCTTTCATCCTCCAAACATTTATTCATCCTCCTGCATTTGAATTCAAAGCTATACTCAAAATTGCACTCTGTCGGACAGTGTTTTAGCGAACTGCTATAAGAAAGGCGACCAGATCACCCGAATCTCCACACAAAGCCGTTGCTGTGGGTCTATCATCATTAATACCCCATTGAACCTCCTCGCCTGATTTCGATTCCCTTTAAACTCTGAAGCATCTCGGCAGCTCATCCCTCATGGCCTCTTCATCGGGGAACGACGATGACCTGACGATCCCGAGAGCGGCGATCAATAAAATGATTAAAGAAACGCTTCCCAATGTACGAGTAGCGAACGATGCCAGAGAGCTGGTGGTGAACTGCTGCACAGAGTTCATTCATCTCGTCTCATCAGAGGCCAACGAGATCTGCAATAAATCCGAGAAGAAGACCATATCCCCTGAACATGTTATAAACGGTGAGGATGACACTTCTAGATGATCGTGAGGTCACTAATAGCTAACGTTATTTTTTTTTTTTCCATTTTGGAAGAGGGTTTTATTCAAAGCGTGTGCAGTAAACTGGAGTTAAGGAGTTAGTTTGCTCAAAAAAAAAAGAACATTCTGTCATGTATTTGCTCTCACACACCCTCACCCGTATTTCTTGCTTGCTACTGTTGAACTCAAAAGTCAGTCACCATTCACTTGTAATGCATAATTTCCAAGCAAATATCTTAAAGGGATAGTTGTCCCATAAAGATACGTTTTGTCGTCAGTTACTCGCTTTCATGGGTTTGTTCTGTTGAACTCAAAATAATATATTTAATGAATGTTGACAACCAGACTTTTGACGGCACCCGTTGACCTCCATGTTTTTGTTTTGTTTTTTCAACAAATTTTAGTCAATGGATGCCGTCAAAAGTCTGGTTATCAACATTCGTTAAAATATAATCTTTTGTGTTCAACAGAAGAAAGAAACTCCTACAGGTTTGGAACAGCTTGAGGGTGAGGAAGTACTGACAATTTAATTTTGGGGTTAACAATCCCTTTAAAAAACAATGAAAACGTTCTACAAGTCTTAGCTACTCTCCCAATGGTGTCAGTTGTTCAGGCTTTTAAATGGGTTTTGGGCACTTTTCAGCTGCTAAGCCTGTGAGACTTCAACCAAGTTAGATTGGTTTAAAAGAGAGTTCACCTTAACCTGTATCTTGTTCATAATGTGGAACACAAAAGAAGATATTTCGAAAAATGTTGATCTCTTTTGTTTATAAAATGAAAGTCAATTGCGTCTTATGTCATAGACACCAGTGACTTAAATTGTTCTTCACAATCTTTTACATAGTTCAGCAAAATATAGACCTGGTTTTACAGACAGGGCTTAGATTAAGCCTGGGTTAGACTGGGTTTTGACATTTAAGTAGCTTGTATAAACATGCCTTAGAAAAAAAGCATTACTGGTGTCTGGTGTCTACTGACGTGTTTTAAGATATCTCGATGCAAGTTGCTTTCAGTTAAAACAGCTCAAACGTGCATTTTAGTCTGAAACTGGGCTTATGCATTGTCTGTGAAACCGGGGGTTATTCTTTTAAATAGTAATAGAAAGTAAGGCATACCCTCATGTTACTCCAAAACCTCCAAACCTTGAATATACAATCTTTTAGTTAACAGCTGAGATCTTGGACCAGGCTGCATTAATACACACAAGATTCAGTATTAACTTCACATTTTTTTCTACAATATGTGGGATGGATATGATTGTATCCATTCCATTTACAGCTTTAAGATAACGGTTTCTTGTTCACTGGCGGTTGTGCATTTCTCTTCAAACTTGTACATCTCTTCTAAAATCCAATGTAACAGTCAATGCTTTTTTTGTTTTTCTTCAGCACTTGAAAGCCTAGGTTTTGGTTCATACATCGCAGAAGTAAAAGACGTTCTGCAGGAGTGTAAAACTGTAGCACTTAAGCGGAGAAAGGCCAGCTCCCGACTAGAGAACCTTGGCATTCCCGAGGAAGAACTTCTACGTCAACAGCAGGAATTATTTGCCAAGGTAAAAATCCTGGAAGAGCTTGAGTTATTCATGAAACGGATAAATGGAACTTTTCGCTCTGTAACTTTCCAGTTTGTTCCCCAGCCTGTAATTCGATTATCTGTTCTGATGAGTTGTGCTGTCTTTCAGGCACGACAGCAGCAGGCTGAGTTAGCACAGCAGGAGTGGTTACAGATGCAGCAGGCCGCCCAGCAGGCACAGTTAGAGGCAGCTTCAGCCAGTTGCGCTCAGCAGGCCGGATCTTCCCAGGATGAAGATGAAGAGGACGACATGTGAATCCCGGCAGGCTTTCTCTGAAGCACACAGATAGATTGACAAATATATATATATATATTTACAGACATGTATGGTCTCCCACACACACACGCGCACACACACTGTCCTTCATAAACCTTAGCAGAGAAGGAACTCTGCAGTGTTATCTCCTGAACTTTTAAATCCCAGATCAACAGTATAAATTCATGCTGACGGTTCAGGGGGAGTCATGGGTGCTCTCCTGCGATTTGTTGCTACGTTTGCCTTGACTCACTTGTTAATTTGAATTATTAGCTCTTGAAAATCCCTCTTTTCTTTTTCATTTGTTTCTGATTTAATTAAAGGCAGTTGTCATCGTGTGTGGGAAGGTTGCTATGTCATGTGATGTGGCTGTGATGTAAGACGCACCATGTTAATAGTCATTGGTTAAATTCAGGAGCTGCTGTTTTGAATGGCTGCGTCCTGTTTTAGGTGATTTACGTATTTCTCTTATATTTGTCTTTGTTATATAGTTTGAAGAGACACAATTTGGGGAACATTTTTGGAAAGTGACTTTTACAGCCGTTCGTCCCCGCTTCCGTATTTCTCTTTGTTCTGCTGAGTGAGATCAGAGAACGTGATTTGTAATGTAGGATGTTGCTTTTTGGTTCATTTTAGTTCGAGTGAGGATAAAGATTGTGTAGATAGGCTTTTACCTGCCCTGTGTTCAGAACAGTATTCCAAGGAAAAGATTTACATGTGCAGAATAAAATCTGTCTTATAGTACCAAAGATAGAAGAAACTATAAAAAAATATTCAGTCACCAGATAGGCTTTGGAAATCTGCTCATGGTATATGCTCTCTGTATGATATGAGTGCTTTGGTGCAGATTGCGCTGAACGCCTCTTACTTACACTTTGTACAATGTTTTGATAGCAGATTTTTTTTTTTTTTTTTACAGGTGCAATGTGTAAAAGTGGAGTTTTGAATGTGTGGTTAATTCATATCCTGTGATGACTGGTAAGGTGTAGTTGAGAAGCGTATTCACATGCCTTTGCAAAAGCTGTAAGCTGTATTCTCTAAGCAATAAAGTCAACCCGTTTTATAGACAGCCTGTGTTTTTTTTTTTTTTTTAATGGAAAGTTTCAAAGTGGTCATGAAATGGAAGTTACAATATTTTCTTGTGACATGAAACGGCTTCTCAAACATGAAAAATGTAGGGCGGTACTTTTGTCCATATTGAATGGATGGTTGTGGTTTGCTGTTGCTGTGATCTCATGTTAGTGACAGGTTGTCTCGCCCTTCGCTGCACAGAACGATCAGTGAATGACATCAAAGTACCGCGAGAGCGATTAGAGAGCAGGCGGCTCGCATGCTTTTCAATCGCTCTCGCGCTATTTTGATTCCATGAACCGATCGGTCTGTGCAGCACCCGTTCAAGTCGAATAAGCCTGTTGTTATAAGAGGGAGGGGAAGATTAAAGATTCCGAGGGCACGTGAATTAAAATAAGAAAAAAAAATGTGTATGTAAAAATTAATTATAATGATCTAATGATACCTATAAAATAAAAAATATATATTTAAAAAAGTAAAAAAAAAAAAAAAAGATTCTAAGTGATTATGATGGTAATTGCCAGAATTTTTTTTTTAAATGACAAATTAAAATATTAATAAACTACATATAACCCAAGAAAAAGGTTAGGAAATTGTGAACGTTCTATGTCTGAACGTGGAAAAGCCTGCCCTAGTATTTTGAACTGGATGCTGGTTGTATTATTATGGTGCATCTAACTGACAGATGGCGCTCCTGCAGCAGTAAACGCGACGAGTCTTACTATGGCGGAAGGCTTTGAAATATTCATATTAATTACGTGACGGTCTCTCAGTAGCTCAGAGTGATTTGCTAAATCATTTGATCTTGAATATGATCGGGTTACATGACTGGATGATAGCGGAAGTTGACTAGGAACGTCATTATGACTCAATTGATATTCATAAGCTCTGCCTCTGTCATAGTAGAATTGGTATTTTCCTATTTCCCTGCTGTGGACGTGTAGAGAAACTGGTGCACTCCAGTCCTCCACCGTTCCCACCATTCCGTTTTATTTAGTTACGCCTACAGAAGTGAAAGGTCGATCGCTTTCTGAGTTTGAACAGAGGAAGAGCATTCAAATAGATTAAAAGAGTAACTGTTATGAGGTAACAGTTATTGCAAGGAGAACTTTATATACGTGTAAAGAATTGCTATCAACAGATCGGTCTGGTTCGGCATTCCCGTTCTTGCCTCACTACCGAGCCGAGGTACGGTAAGTGTCAAACTGACGTATACTGTATGTATAACTGTTAGGCGTTTATGTGTACTACTAAACTAACGCTACATCACTCTAATGAAGTCTCAAATCTGTTCAGAGGTAAATAATCATATACACCTTTAGCCATCTGTTATTTAGCCTTCCAGGCTTTAGTCAACATTTACCTGCCTATTGTAGTTGTTACTCGGTAACTATTATGTTCCTTTGTTAATATGTTGCTTCATGTTCAACAATTATTGCTGTTAACGTGTGGTGCATTTATTTATTTTGACATGGATGTGTTGCTAAATGGAATCTTATTATGAACGGTATTTTTTATGTCAGTTTAAGATCAGCTTTACTGACATAGCTGCTCTCTTTAGTTACAGTATAACTACTAATAATCTGTTGTTTTTGCTATGGGATGAATGATGAGTATTCATCCCATTTCACATTGAGATCATATCACAGAATATTCAACAACATTCTGTTCATGTTATCCAGAGGAAATGTTGTCATTCTGACTGACATGAACCAGATCTGTTTAATTTACTGTAAAGGACTTTGTACATTGATATGTTAAATGTAGGCAGTACATTTCAGGTTAGACATGAATCCGTGGTCTGGGTATTGTCATAGGAAGGAGGGGAAAAAAGGAATTGGTGTTGACAGCTGAGCCTGCTCTCTGTTATTTTTTGGAAAACTTTGATACAAGATACTATTTTTTATATGTTGCATTTTCATACCATTTGTAACTGGCTGCATGAATGTTGCAGTCCTGTGAATGATCCTGTGAAGTATGTTTTTTTTTTTTTTTTTAATCTTTACTAGTTTTTCCTGCTTAATTCACTTATGGCCCTTTCAGGCTGAATCAATTTAATGGAAATAAAATGTACAGTTATAGTTCATCATTTTTTTTGTTGTCATTATTTATTGACACTTATGTCTTTCCAAACATGTATGACTTTGTCTTCTGTGGAGCACAGAAGAAGATACTTTTTAAGGCTGTTCACTTTTTGGGAAAATTAACCCTGGGTCACACTAAACCACAAATCTTGTTTATCTTGTTTCACACTGCTTATAATTTACCCTGGGTTAACAATTTATACTGTGTATTTATAAGATGACATTTCACACTGTACTGTTATATTTGCAGTGTACTAGAAGAAAAGCTTCTAGAACCTTGAACGGTTCTCTCAAGTGCTTCATATGAAGAGTTCAGATGCAAAAGCCTCTAAGTGCCATTTGAAATTTTCTTCTAGAATGATCATTTTTATCAAGCTTGTATATTTAAGTTCAGTGATTTCACTTAAATGGCAATGATAATTACCTATTAATTGTTATTTAAGTGAAATTACTGAGCTTAAATATACAATTTTGATAAAAATCATCATTAAAGAAGAAAATTTCAAATGGCATTTAGAGGCTTTTGCATCTGAACTCTTCATATAGAACATTTTAGGGGTTCTCATCATTGGATCATTTTATGGATTTAGTTTTAATTGATTTAAATTCATTTTTTATTTGAATTACATTTAATGAACTCAAAAGCTTTAAACATACTTTATCACATCAAAAAAAAAAACTTGTTAAAGATTAAATAATTTTGCAATCATTTAAGACATTTATATATAGAATCTTTTTGGCATAAAGAGTTCTTTGAGACTGAGTGAAGAACCCTATGGTTCTATAAGGAATTGATTGACGAATATAGCACACAACCTGTTTACATAAAGACTCTAAGCATTGCACATCTTCATTGCCAGCAACTGCTACCAAGTTTTTTCCTGAATGTACTTTCCGACTGATAAGAATGAAACCTCTCCTCTTCTCTGCAATTGACGGTCAATTGCTGAAGCATTCTGTTTATGCATCATGCTGCATTTCTGTATAAAGCACATGATTGGGTGTGTCTTATCTAACCATAACATTCCAACACCACATCGTTTTACACTATAAAAGATTGTTGTGTAGTAACTGATGTAATCTGAATTATAAATCAGATTGCAAAAATTTAATTCTTGTAATTTGATTTATTACATTTTAAAATATGCATAATCAGAATAGAGTTTCTTTTTTTATTAATAACATGATGATTACTTAAAGCTACAGTCCGTAGCTTTTTTGGGTTAAAAATAATCTTTTAAAGTTTCTAAAAAAAGTTTTTAGAAATAATCATTTCAGTGATAAAAACAGCATTTTCGTGTAAATGAGAGGGCAAAATGCAGAGAAATATCTGCGTTTTCCCATCGTGTAAACAGGGCCTTAAAGTTGATATTCCGCGAATGACTGCAATTGCAGATTTTGAACAGAGATGACGACAAAGAGGAAAAACGCCAGACTGCAGCTTTAATGTTCACATAATGGCAGTAAATTTTTCAGAATATATTTATTCTCCCAAATTCCTTTTCCATCTACACTAACAGATCAGCCTCTAGTTAGGTGACTAAAATCTTTTTTTAAATTTTTTATTTATTTTGATTGTTATTTTTTATTATCATGTTACTTTTTATAATTTAAATAATAAAGCCTATCATAAATGTGAACCCCCTGCAGTTTCTTCACAAAGCCTACTACTCAGCAGGGATTAATAACGCTGATGAGAAAGTGCTAACAACAACAACTAATTTAGTGTGAAGCATTCCTCTACCTGGGGTTAAAAGCAGGGTTTGAAAGATTAGAGACCCCTTTTTTTGTCTTTACATTGAAAGTCAGTAGGGTCCAAAACAACATTGGACCCTATTGACTTTCATTGTATATATCAGAGAGCACTTAAATTAAGAATATTTTGTGTTCTGCAGAAGACAGAAAGTCATACAGTTTCAGAGCAATATGATGTTGAGTAAGTCATGACCGAATTTTCATATTAGTGTGTCATTAGCGGTTCCAAATTTTGAATTTTTGGTTTCAATTAAACTAGGTTTATTGAGCACTGCCCCCAGCTCCTGACACAGATTACTCAAACCGCCCCACTAGAGTTGCCCCAGGTAATTTTGGTGGAAATGCAGCTTTTTTTGAGAAATCAGCCTAAAGGCTTATAGTTATCACATCACCTTATATAGCCCTACTTTGCAGCATTTTTGTAATATCATATAACATTTGGATCTTTAATGTAGAATTGCATGGCACAACGTTCACTTGGTTTATATTTTATTGGAAATATGCAGTGTGCATTTCATAAAGTCATATGAAAGTAAGTCAGATAAATACAGTCCAATCACTAGATGTTGTCAGGCCAGTTAATTAATGAATGTGGATTTACCAGTTTGGTCCAGCTTCAGGTCAACACAAGTCACAACAAGGTTAGCCATTAGTTTCCCTTTGTACATAATCTGATTGCTATGCAATGCAATGAATATTCATTTTAGGATTTACTTAAGATTACCTTTAACATTGTTATTAAATTGTGTTTTTAAATATTAATTGACCTTTAGTGACTTTAATCGGTCAGTATAAGCTAAAGATCTTCTTGTACATTGATTGATAATGAATGAAGTTTCAGCTGAAGGTTGTCTTCCATATCCAAATACCAAATCCCTGAGACTATTTTGTAATAAACTTTATCTTGATTGTTTGTATTTTAAAATGATATATTTAGCTCTGCATGACTAAAATTTAAAAGTAAAAATATATCTCGATAATAGAGATCGGCCAAAATAAAACTAAAAACAAGTCCGGACCAAAAAAAAGAGAATGATGCATTTAGTCCTGGTTCACTAGCCTTCACACATGTTGTTTTGTATCTTTTGGTTCACAAGACTGAACCTAAAGATACAAAACAACAACAACAGCAAAATATATCACAAAGAGTTCATAAAATGTGTAAGGAGTTACACACAAACAAAGATCTGCTGCAAGGAGTAGGCATTTCTGGTGCCTGTGCCGAATTGTAATGGGCAACGCAGCTCCTATGATGAGAAGAACCAGGTATTCTTTAGGCTGCTATCTTGTGTCATCATGCCCTGTTTTTGGTTTGTTAGATGACTTTGGTCAGTGTTGCGTTCATATTTTAGTCGAACAGCACAATCATACTTTTGGAAACGGACCAAGACCCACCTTCTCAGGGGTCTTGGTCAGCTAGATTGGTGCACACCAAGGTTCAGATGGCAGCATAACACCTATTCAAATGCAACGCACTAAAAAAGCAGTTGCACCAGAGACAATTTTAATCGATCCAAACCTGCCATGAGTTTGGTTGAAATTGCGGGGGCACTGAGAATCGTCACCACCTTTCTCCCCACTAGCGACTGTTTTCAAGGAAACTGTCAGTCAAAGTTTAATGCTCATTTTATCCTGTTACCATTGAATCTCAGTTTCGCCATATATTTATGGTCATTTTTATTTCAATATATGATTAACCAGCACAAGGCAATAAATGTGTTATAACAGACATGGAGAAACTCATTCTATCTCTTTTACAAAAAAACCCATACACACACAAGGATGTGACACACTCCACCACTGCAGGACTGTTTTCCAAAGAATGAGTATCAGACGAGTGGCCATAAATTACACACATCAGCTTTAAAGGTTTTAGTCCATATGTGCTTGCTTTGAGGTCAATTGTTTATCTACCCCTAACAACAAATATTTTGATATTTTCTGTAATTTTGTTGATTATGATAATTAGATTACTTTGCTGATTGTGTTGCTGGTAACGTGGCTGGTAAGACTGTGACACACCAAGCAAACGGTCCACCACTGGCACCACACACCATTGTTGAGAATCTGCCAGCTTGGCTTTAGGGGTGTGATACACTTTTAAATGTGTGATTAACAAATTGTTCAGTTCAGTTCTGTACACACTGGGTAGAATTTATTTGTGCGTTTTTTTATCTGCTTTTTTCAGGAGTTAATTCATTTGTAGAATGAGGTTTCACTCCACTGAATTACTTAAAGGGATAGTTCACTTTGAAATTAATTTTTGATATGTTTTAGCTTACCTCAAGGGCATCCAAGAGGTGTCTTTGTTTCCACAATATTTTCAATTCTGACATTTTTGGTCAAGCCGGTGT